TGCAGATGTACAGCGCTGTGAGTTAAACCTGACTTCGTGCAGCTGAGTAGGGAAAGCGCTGCAGTCTGTCCACACTGACAGCTGCCCAGCGCTCTGTCGTGGCCACATTTGCGGCAATTGCAACGCTATTGGGAGCGGTGCATTGTGGGCAGCTATCCCACAGAGCACCTTTTCCCATTCTGGCGCCGCGGGTTGTAGGAAGGGGGCGTGGGTGCGGGGCATTCTGGGTCCTGTCCCAATGTCCCGTGATGCATCGCTTCGCATCCCAGAAATCCCTTTGTTTCCGTTCACCTTTGGTGCCATCTTTCAACGGTTTCTGTGCAGAGCAATAGGTCTGCGGGAAATGGAGTCCGAACTGCTGAGGCGTATGCTGACGAGTCTCGCCAGCACGTCACGTTTGGCTGTCGAACTATTCCTTAAGAGCCAAAGTGACAGTGAGGGTGAGGAGTCCGACGATGCTATCGAGCCGCATAACGCGTATGACACGAAATTGCTTGTGGCATTCACGGACATGCTCAGCACCGTGGAACGCTGCTTTTGGGCTCGGGAAACAAGCACCGAGTGGTGGGATCACCTCGTCGTGGAAGTCTGGGATGATGAGCAGTGGCTGCAGAACTTTCGGATGAGAAAAGCCACTTTCATGGGACTGTGTGAGGAGCTCGCCCCCACCCTGCGGCGCAAGGACATGAGATTGAGAGCTGCCCTGCCAGTGGAGAAGCCAGCTTCCAGATTGCAATAGCCACCCGCAACTCCAGACCGCTACCGGTCGGTCGCAAACCAGTTTGGAGTGGGAAAGTCGACCGTTGGAATCGTGTTGATGCAAGTTTGCAAGGCCATTAATCGCATCCTACTCAGAAGAACCGTGACTCTGGGTAACGTGCAGGAAATAGTGGATGGCTTTGCACAAATGGGGTTCCCCAACTGTGGAGGGGTGATAGATGGGACGCACATTCCTATTCTGGCACCACCCCACCTAGGATCCGAGTACGTTAATCGGAAGGGGTATTTCTCTCTGGTTCTCCAGGCGCTTGTGGATCACCGTGGGCGTTTCATTGACATTAACACAGGCTGGCCCGGAAAGGTGCATGACGCATGCATCTTTCGGAACACTTGGCTGTTCAGGAAGATACAGGCCGGGACTTTTTTCCCAGAGCGGAAGATCACGGTAGGGGAAGTTGAAATGCCCATTGTGATCCTTGGAGATCCCGCTTACCCGTTAATGCCGTGGCTCATGAAACCCTACACAGGGAGCCTTGACAGCAGCAAGGAATGGTTCAACTACAGGCTGAGCCGGTGCCGAATGACTGTGGAGTGTGCCTTTGGCTGTTTAAAGGGCTGCTGGCGATCTCTGTATGGGAAGCTGGACTTGGCCGAAATCAGCATCCCCGCGGTTATATCCGCGTGCTGTGCCCTCCATAATATTTGTGAAGGGAAGGGTGAAAGCTTCACTCATGCATGGACCTCCGAGGTTCAACACCTGGAGGCTGAATTTGCACAGCCAGAGCAGGGCTATTACAGGGGCCCAGCGCAGGGCTGCAAGGATTAGGGATGCCTTGAGGGAGCAATTTGAGGCTGAAAACCAGCAGTGATATCTGGTGCCCTGCACGGGAGTGAAGTGCAGTAGTTCCAATCTTAATCAGTGTCTGCTTAGCAGACAAGCAGACTTGCAGTGCCTGTTTAGTTCCTGGGCTAAGGAGTCTTTTACTTTATGCAATAATAAAGAATGTTTTCAAAGCCAAAGAATCCATTTATTGAAAAGAAACAAGAGGGTGGAGTGGGGAACAGTACAATCACAGATTCGCGTATGTCCTGTCTGGTGTGCTGTGCAGTGAGTGCTGCACTTCAGGACAGCTATACTGCATGGTGATGGGGGTTGAGTGCAGAGGGTAAGGGTCGTGGTTTTCAGGGCTGGGTGGTGAAGATACTGGTGTTGGAGGCAGCGGGTGGCGTGAAGAACACGGAAGTTGGGGAAAGTGGGTTGGAGGTGACAGTGGGGCACAACAGAGTTTTGGGACAAGGGCTGTAGGGGGGGGGGGTGGCATTTGCGTTTGCGGTACTGCTCCTCTTTCTGCATGGCTCCTGGATAGCATCTGCTTGGCGCTCCAGGATGCTTGTGAGCCTATCAGTGCTTTGCTGCCGGTGCGCGGTGCTTTGCTGCCGGTGCGCTGCATTTTCCTGGCAGATCCTGCTTTCTCTCTCCCTGCAGTCCTGTGCTTTTCTCATTCTCTTTAATAGATTGCCGCATCACTTCTTGCAGCATGTCTTCTTTGCTTTTTCGCAGTCTCTTCCTGAGTCTTTGCAGTCTCTGAGCAGGCGATAAGAGGGACAGCTGAGGTCTCAAGGTTGATGCTGCTGTACAGGCAAAATGCAACATTTAACAGAGGCAGCATTGTTTATACCAGACAGAGTACTGATTCCCCCTGCACTTAAGGAGTAGAAAACACACAGGGTCTACACAATAGCATAATTTTCCCGTCCGAAACAGAGCGCACACATCCCACGGGAGCCTCAAAATGGTGAGTAAGGGGGACTGATTGTTTCAGGGCTGCACTGTCCTCTGGGTTTCTGTGCCTTGGGGAGAGCCAACAGCTTCAGGGGGCACCTACACTGAACACTGTCCCAACATTTTTCACAGGAGTTCATCCTGGATGATATCTCGCTGCTGAGGGTGACCTGGGAAGCAAGGGAGGGTCTTCTACTGCAATGCGGCTTCCACCCTGGCCCATATGCAGCTTGCCTGTGTGCAGCAATGGTCCCCCCCGCCCCTCACGGCACAGTGGCACGGACACGTTAGCCTGGCTGGGACAAGGACCACGGTGGCTCTCCCGATAAACCTGCACAAGCGCATTGCCCACGTTCTGGATGAGACATTCGAGGAGATTACCGAGGCCGATTACCGTGATGTGATAAACCACATCAATGCACTATTCCGCATCTAGGCATGCATGCCTAACCCTCCTCTCCCAAAGAGCCCGCACCGAAAAAATTCCTTCCCGAAAAAAACCCGCTTACCGGGAACCTGCTCTTCTGTTTGTCCTCCATGTACCGGCCGCTGCAACTGGCTACCTTCCTCCTGGCTCGAGACGAGCTCCTGGCTGCATGGCTCCAGGGATTCTGGGGTGTCTCCATCCGGCCCACCACCATCACTCCCAGTTTCCTCCTCCTCCCCCCCCCCACCCCACCGGCTCTGAAGTGTCCATGGTGGTGCTCAGAGTGGAGGTGGGGTTAACCCCAAGTATCGCATCCAGCTCTTTGTAGAATCGGCAGGTCACGGGGGGAGCACCCGAGCGGCCGTTTGCGTCGCGGGCTTTGCGGTAGGCACTCCGCAGCTCCTTGACTTTAATCCTGCACTGCAGGGTGTCCCGGTCATGGCCCCTTTCCATCATGTCCTTTGATACCTTCCCAAAGGTATCGTAATTCCTACAGCTGGAGCGCAGCTGGGACTGGACAGCTTCCTCCCCCCAAACACTGAGGTCCAGCAACTCGCCACTGCTCCATGCTGGGGCTCGCTTGGCGCGTGGAGGCATGGTCACCTGGAAAGATTCGCTGAGAGCACTCCACACCATGCCGGGCTGAGCAAACAGGAAGGGGATTTTTAAAATTCCCGGGGAATGTAAAGGGTGGGTCACATGGTTGGTTACCTGAGGCCAGGGCAGTAGCGTTTGAACTGATGACCACAGTGGCTAGAACAGGCATTGTGGGATACTGCCGAATAATTCTGGAGGCCATTCACAGCGCATTGGGTGGCCACACTGGCGCCGCAGCGCTGCAGCAGCAGCGCAATACTCGCTATTCCTCTCGGAGAGGTGGAGTACATGCAGCGCTGCAACCACGGAGATACAGCGCTGCAAATGCCTTGCCAGTGTGGAGGGGGAGTGAGTTACAGCGCTGGGGGAGCCTTTACAGCGCTGCAACTCGCAAGTGTAGCCAAGGCCAAAGAAAGCAGAGGCCACATGGCAAGAGACTATAAAAGGCTGCTGCAGCTCTTCAATCTTGCTTCTTACTTCTGGAGGGACTTTGCTACAAACTGAAGCTCTGAACAAAGGACTGATGACCCATCCCAGCTGGGGATGTTCCAGAGACTTGATTTGAACCTGCAGTTTATTCTATCGCAGCTACAAGCCTGAACCAAGAATTTTGCCATTACTGTATGTAACTGATTCCATTTAACCAATTCTAGTTCTCATCTATATTTCTTTTTATGAATAAACCTTTAGATTCTAAAGGATTGTCAATGGCGTGATTTGTGGGTAAGATCTGATTTGTATATTGACCTGGGGCTTGGTCCTTTAGGATCGGAAGAACCTTTTTTCTTTGACTGGGGTATTGGTTTTCATAACCATTTGTCCCCATAAGGAGTAGTGCTGGTGGTGATACTGGGAAACTGGAGTGTGTGATTTCTGGTTAGCCAGTGGGGTGAGACCGAAGTCCTGTCTGGCTGGTTTGGTGCCTTAGAAGTGGAGAAACCCCAGCCTGGGGCTGTGACTGCCCTGCTCTAAGCAATTTGTCCTGAATTGGCACTCTCAGAAGTGTCCCACCGAAGGCAGCATCGTTACACCCGCCTACTAATAAAAGCTCTGCCCTTTGTCCTGGCAATATGTCACCTTCTTGAATTACACTCTGCTTCACCACAGAGATCCCTGCACCTTTATCTTCCCATCCTAAGTATTCCCAGCCATTAATTTTGACAGCCTTTATTTGCTCCATGTTTGGTTCTGTGGAATCCAATCCTACAAAAACCAATGTAAATTTCAGGTGCCTCAGAGGCTTCTGTGCTGAGGGCAGCAGCATTAACATGGCTTACTTGTTGCCGGCTTCCTTCCTGCACAGAGCATTTATTCCCCCAGGTGATCAGAGGAATTACAGTGATAGCACTGGATGGGAATTAGATGAATGGTTCTGGGGAGGTGAGTTCCCCACCTCCAACTCACCCTCCTTTCTCCCAGGAGTAAAACGGGAACCTCCCTTCCCCCAGGTTTAAACTCCTGTCTGCAGTTTACTTTCAATAGATGCCAGGGTCTGCTCAAAGCCATCAGCTAGAGAGGTCATCTCCTGCAGTCTTCACATTTTTATCCCACAAACACTGTTTTACATCATCTTTACATGTACTTGACCAATGAGATCAGTCAGTGGCTCAAGATTTTCAATGTCTTTTCCCCTCACCCATTTTCTTATCAGGTCATTCATCCTGTTTACATAGTCACATTACTCAGACCAGCACCCCTCTTAAGATTTCTAAATTTCACCCTATATGTATCAGAGGTAATTTGAAATCTTTGCAAAAACAGTATTTTTAAATTTACAGTGGTTTAAAGCAGCCTCAATTGCCATTTCACTGAATATATTTAGAGCTTTACTTTGCAACCAGGGACTTTCTTGTTAGCAGGAATTTCAAGAAGCTGTGTGTGCAGTACATGAAAGTAGTAAAATATTCTGTGATCTGGTCCCAAGTGTGGATGGGAACCGCTAGGCTCGGTGGTTTCTGGTTCTCCTTCTCTAGCACGGCCAGTTGGTGGTTTTGCTCTTTCTCAGCTTCTCTGGCTTTCACCTCTAGGACCCACTGATCTGCTGCCTTCTCCCTGGCAGCCTCTTCCTCTTTAGCCTTTATCTCCAGTACTTTAATTTCCAGCTGACACTCATGGGGTCTCTCTTTTTCTGCTGCCTGTAATCGACACATCTCTAACTTTGCAGCGGTTTCACTCTGGCTCATCTTTATGCCTTTCTGTTCCTATTTCCTTTCCCCGAAATAAGCAAATAGAAAATAACAAACTCGTAACCTTCTATGACGAAGTGGGACTGTTCTTAATGTTTCCTCTGAATACTGTGTGGGTGCCTCAATTTCCCCTATGCATTTCTTAAGTCTCTAGGTGGTGGGATAAAGGCCAGTGTGCATAAATCACTGACACTCTGTCTCCTGGCAACAAATGGCCAGGGCTCCTCCCCCCGCAAGGGAATAGCTAAAGGTGAACAAAGATCAGGTGACCTCCTGGCCCGGGAAAGAGACAAAGGCCAGAAAGGAGGGGCTGGAGGGGGGGTTCAGTTTGGGGCTGGCTGGGGTCGGGAAGTGAGTGCAGACAGGGTTGTATGGCTCGCTGGGCCCCACAATGGACCCGGCTGAGGGATCCCGTTCTCTGTACCTACAAGCTCTGTTTTAGACCGTGTTCCTGTCATCTAATAAACCTCTGTTTTACTGGCTGGCTAAGAGTCACGTCTGACTGCAAAGTGGGGGTGCAGGACCCTCTGGCTTCCCCAGGACCCTGCACAGCTGTTGAACTGAGTGAGATTTACACTTTATCTTTTCTGAGATGGGGCGACCACCTCTGCACACAGTGTTCAAGGTGTCGGTGACCATGGATTCATATAGTGTCATTAGGATATTTACTGTCTTATCTCTCCTTTTCCTAATGGTTCCTAACATTCTGTTCACTTTTTTTAACAGCTGCTGCACATTGAGTGGATGTTTTCAGAGAACTATCCACAATGACTCCAAGATCTTTCTTGAGTGGTAACAGCTAATTTAGACCATCATTTTATATGTATAGTTGGGATTATGTTTTCCAATGTGCATTACTTTGCATTTATTGACATTGAAATTCATCTGCCAGTTTGTTGCCCAGTCACCCAGTTTTGTGAAATTCCTTTGTAACTTTTCGCAGTCTCCTTTGGACTTAACTACCCTGAATAATTTTGTATTGTCTGAAAATTTTGCCATCTGACTGTTTAGCCCTTTTTCAGCTCATTGATGAATATGTTGAATAGGACTGGTCCCAGAACAGATATCTGTGAGACACCACTATTTACCTCTCTCCATTCTGAAAACTGACCATTTATTCCTACCCTTTGTTTCCTGTCTTTTTAACCAGTTACTGATCCCTGAGAAGACCTTCCCTCTTCTCCCATGACAGCTTACTTTGCTTAAGAGCCTTTGGTGAGGGACCTTGTCAAAGGCTTTCTGAAAATCTAAGTACCCTATATCCACTGGATCCCCAGTGTCCACATGTCTGCTGACACCATCAAAGAATTCTAGTAGATTGGTGAGGCATGATATCCCTTTACAAAAGCTGTGTTGACTCTTCCCCAATATATCGTGTTCATCTATGTGTTGGATAATTCTGTTGTTTACCATAATTTCAACCAATTTGCCTGATACTGAAGTTAGGCTTCCTGGCTTGTATTTGCTGGGATCGCCTCTGGAACCTTTTTTAAAAATTGGTGTCCCATTAGCTATCCTTGTCATTTGGTACAGAGGCGGTTTACATATCACACCTAGTAGTTCTCCAGTTTCATATGAGTTCCTTCAGAACTCTTGGGTGATACCATCTGGGCCTGATGACTTATTATTGTTTAATTTATCAGTTTGTTCCAAATTCTCCACTACTGATTGTCTCCAAAATCATGTCAATCTGGGACAGTTCCTCAGCTCTGTCCCCTAAAAGGAATGGCTCAGGTGTGGAAATCTCCCTCGCATCCTCAGCCGTGAAGACCGATGCAAAGAATTGATTTAGCTGCTCTGCAATGGCCTTCTTGTCCTTGAGTGCTCCTGTAGCATCTCAATCATCCAGTGGCCCCGCGGATTGTTTGGCAGGCTTCCTGCTTCTGCTGTACTGTGATGGGGTGTGCTCTCCATACTGGCCCTGCAAGAGCTGGATTAGGTGAGGGGGACCCCAATCAGCTAATTGGCTGCAAGCAGGGGAGCTTTAGGCTGGAGGCAGCTAATCAGATAGATGCTCACCCGTGAGGGACAGGCGGGGTTTCTACACAAGCCAGGAGGCTGGCAGCGGAAGAGGCAGCTGGGAAAGGCTGCAGTCACTCCCTGGGAAGAGAGGAGTGTTTGGAGACTGCAGAGATGAGTTCCCTCAAGTTAGTCCCTGGGAGGACGGAGGGAAGAGGCAAACCCAGAGGAGCGGGGAAGGCCAGGAGGTACAGAAGCAGCTCAGGGAAAGGCAGCGAGGTGCAGGGAAAGGACTTTGGCTGCTGTGTTGAGGGTCCCTGAGCCGGAACCCGGAGTAGAGGGTGGGCCCAGGTTCCCCTGTGGGAGCGGCACCGTGAGGCAGTGAAGCAGACGACTGCCCGATACCGCCGGAGAGCGGGAACCTTGTTACGCTCCCCCAGAAGGGGAAATCACAGTAGTGACCTGGCCGGAGGGCTGCGTCCCGAAGAGGACACTGCGGCTCCTGAGAGTGAGAGAGGGGCTGCAGGGGAGAAACTGATGGGGTGTAACCACTGGAAGGGGCACTGGCCTGATCAAGCGAATGCCTGGAACCGCCAGGAGGCAGCGCCATCCAGCGGTGAATAGAGCAAACCGGTCACAGGTACATTTTTTTTTTTTTTTTTTTTTTTTTTTGCTATTAGTTTTTGAGTCTTTTGCTAGTTGCTAACTTAACTTAAACTTCGAACTGAAAGCCAAGTGGGATGCCAGCAAGCCACGGGACTCCCCTCATCCCCTCAAGACAGAGGTGGCACGTGGTAGAAGGCCTGAGGGCAGGACCAGTGTTGCAATGTGAGAAATCCTGACTGAGGGAACCCCCACAATCTCTTCTACACCAGAGCCCAGGCTATCACCCCAGAGACGAGAGAGTACAGGTGGGTGGAGGGGGAGGGGACACCTCAGGCTTCTGTGCCTCCAGCTCAGAGGGCTCGTCTTTGGGTGGTGGATATGTTCTCTCTGGGTCTGGTTCGCACCCTCTTGAAATGCTTTGCCTTGGCACGCTGCCCACGGTGTCCGGCAGGTCTCTGCGGATAAGGCTGTGCAGCTAAAACTCCCTTCCCCTCCTAACCCGGGCCCCGAAGTGCCATCCCCATGGCATGGCTGATCCAGAAGCACAGTACAGACGGGGAAGGAAGGGTGCTAGTACCTCACAGAGCACACCATGGAAGGGGAGACTGGAGCCAGCCTGGTGGGGTCAGGGGAAGGACTCGAGTGAGCAGCACAATATTCCCCATCACACAGATCTCCTTTGAACAACAAGCGGCACCTGAGGCCCAGCTGAGTTCAGGGCCCCATTGTGCTCGGCGCTGCACGCGCATTCTGTCCTAGACAGGGCCTTGCCCTACCCCGGTCACTGAAGTAGCTGAGCGCCTTCCAGGAGGGCGTTAAACATCTGCTATGTGTGGTTTGTTCTCTGCTCAGCCTCTCCCCTGGGGAGAAGTGTGTGTGTACTGGGGTGGTTTGGGGTTTTGCTGTGTGTTTACAGACCAGAGGGAGGCGTGAACATGGCACGTGCAGTGGAAGGTGGTGATGTCTGTGGTGGCCCTTAGTTCCTCTGAGAGTTCATTCCACATCCTGGGGCTGACCTGCTCTGCGCAGACGAGCTTTATCCTGGTGCCTGAGGAGCTCAGCTGTCAGCCGCGCTCTGCACCCCAGAGCCACTGAGCAGCACGGAGCCCTTGCCCTCGGCCCGCTGCTCTAGGCCAGCCAGTGCAGTGAGTGGAGGACGGCCCAGAATGCTCACACCCTGCCATGGAAGTGGGAACTGTCAGTTCACAAAACTATTAGTCTGTGTGTCTGTCCCTATCACGGGGTCTTGTGAGCGGGTGGGGGCTGAGGGGTTCAGTGCTGCCCCTGGGGCAAAGCAGGAGACATTGGAGGTTTGGCCCCCATCAATGGAAGATCCCTGAGACCATGGAAATGGAGTGACCAATAGACAGTATCCAGGGCAGCTCTGAGCAGGTGAGCTGAGTGTGCCGGTGCTGCAGGAGAGGGGCCGTGATAGGAACCGCCTGGGGCCACGGCTGGTCTCTTATCTGGGACTAGCCGAAGGGACGGAGACAGCAAAGAGGAGCCGACATGGTTCCCACAGGAGCGTGGCTCACAGGAGCCCTGGCCTGGCTTCTCTGCTCTGCCCTACAGCCCGCCCCAGGCTGGGTACCAGCTGGGGAATAAAACCCGACGCAGGAGGCTGCCGGGGGTGGCTGAAGCTGCCTGGGGAAGCAGGGATCCGCCTGGCGGGACGGAGCTCACGGGGAGAAGGGCTGGAGCTCAAGGCTCAGGCACATGGCAGGGTCTGACCCCTTGGGGGTCTGGCCCACTGGCGGGCTCCTCCCAAGGG